TTGTGTGAAAACACAAAAGACCTGAATAGCCAAAACAATCCTGAGAAAGAAGAGCAAAGCTGGAGGTATCACACTTTCTGATTGCAAGCTCTATTGCAAAACTCTGGTAATTAAAACAGTATGATACTGCCATAAAAGTTGATATGTAGACCAATAGAACAGAATTAAGAGCCCAGAAATAAACCTATGCATATATCATCAACTAATATTTGACAAGGAAGCTAAGAGTATTTAAAGGGGAAATGATAGTTTCTTTAATAAATGGTGTTAGGAAAACTGGACAGCCATTTGCGAAAGAATAAAACTGCACCCCTATCTTATATCTCTTATAAAAACTAAAATAGATTAAATATTTAAACATAAGACCTGAAACCATAAACCTCCTAGAAGTAAACATAGATAAAAATGCTTTTTGACGTTGATCTTGGCAATGATTTTTTAATTATGACATCAAAAGCAACAAAAGCAAAGAAAAACAAGTGGGACTACATGAACTAAAAAACTTCTGCACAGCCAAAAAAGCATCAACAAAATGAAAGGGCAGCCTACACAACGGGAAAATATATTTGCAACCACATATCTGATAAGAGTTAATATCCAAAACATATAAAGAACTCCTATAACTGAAGAGAAAAAAAAAAGTCATCCAATGAGAAAGTGGGCAAGTGATCTGAGTAAATATTTTTCCAAAGAAGATATTCAAAATCTAACAGGTGTATGAAAAGTTGCTCAACATCACCCATCATCATGCAAATCAAAAGCACAGTGAGATATTGCCTAACACCTGTTGGAGTAGATATCATGAAAAAGCCAAGAGGTAACAAGCATTGGCAAGGATGTGGAGAAGAGGGAACCGTTGTGCACTGCTGGTGGGAATGTAAGTTGGTGCGATTACTATGGAAAACAGTATGGAAGTTCTTAAAAAAAATTAAAAATAGACTACCATGGGGGTGCCTGGGTGGCTCAGTGGGTTAAGCCTCTGCCTTTGGCTCAGGTCATGATCTCAGGGTCCTGGGATCGAGCCCCACATCGGGCTTTCTGCTCAGCAGGGAGCCTGCTTCTCTCTCTCTCTCTCTGCCTGCCTCTCTGCCTACTTGTGATCTCTGTCAAATAAATAAATAAAATCTTTAAAAAAAAATAGACTATCATGTGATCCAGCAATTCTACCTCTGAGTATATTTCAAGGAGAATGAAATTACAATCTTGAGACAATATTAGCACCTACACGTTCATAGCAACGTTATTTACAATAGACAAGACAACCTAAATGTCCATCAACAGTGAATGGGTACACATAATGTATCTACATTTAATGGAATATTATTCAGTCATAAAAACAGAAATCCTGTCATTTGTGACAGCATGATGAACCTCAGGGGCCTTATGCTAAGTGAAATAAGTCAGACAGAGAAAGACAAATACTGTATGTTATCAGTTATATGTGGAATATAAACAAGAAGAAGTCATAAAAGAGAATCAATTGGTAGTTGCCACAGGAGGTAGGGGAAATGAGTGAGTGAAACAGTACCAGCTTGTAAGGTATAAAATTAGTAAGTTCTGGATATGTAACAGTTTGGTGACTACAGTTGACAATAGTGTATATTTGAAAGTTGCTAAGAGAAACCTTAACAGTTCTTACTACACACAAAAATTGTAAGTATGTGAGGTGATGGGTCTATTATCTGTTGTGATCATTATTTAGAAATTATGTTGCCTAAAGCTACACATGAAGGATAATAGCTCTAAGACTTCTAACTCCCCCAAATGTAGATTGAAAAATAAATAAAGGTTATAGACTGGGGTTGTCCAAATTATTTGGGGGAATAAAATTCAAACTTAAAAATTCTTTTGTTTTTGAAGAACATATATTAAATATATTGTTTCTGTGTGAGAGAGAAACAGGGAGTGGAGAAGAGGGAGTGAAGAAGGGTGGAGATAGAGAGATGGAGGGAGGAAGGGAGAATTTAAGCTCTATACCTAAAAGCAAAGCAGAAATTTATGTTCATTTGTCATTTTCCTGACTAATTCACCCAGTGCCTCTACTTGCTCTCTAGCTGATGGTGATGTCTAACTTTTCATCTACACATCCTACCTCCCCTATCCCAGGATTTTTGTATTCCTATCAAAGTCAAGGAGAGTTGCCTATATACTAGTCCTTTGGGAAGATACCATAGGGTTACTTCTGTATCCCCAGGGCCCAGCACAGTGCATGCATCTCTCCCTTTCAGTGACTGCATGTGTGAATACCAAAAGGCATTTAAACCTTTTGTTTGCTTTAATGGTTTTACTCATGCAAAGCACTAAAGGTTTATCCCCTTTGTAGGCTACCAAATGATAAACGATTCAACTAGAACTTAGAAAGAGGGAGACTGTAACTCAATTAGTTTCTCTAGGGCTGGCTGCAGTTACCCTACATGAGCCGTTTTGTGTGGCCATTTTAGTAGAGCTCGGAGAAGAAGAAGGGGAGGCTTAGACCTTGGCAGTAGGAGGAGTAGACCGTGCATGTGCAAGTTAGTGTCTCTTGAAGCTTCAATGACACGATTGTTAAAGAGGGAAAGAATACAGTGTACTTGCATTGTGAATAAATTAGTATAAGCTGAAAAATATTTGCTGACTTGAACAACTTGGGGTCAAAGCCCCAAACACCTCACAGATAAAACAGGATTTTTAAAAAGCAAATGTTTATAGAATCAAAATGACAACAGCAAAGTGTACTTACTTTAGGAGGTTTTATTTAACTAATTTATGTATTTCATGGTTTATAAGTAGAAAATAGAAGTGGCCAATTTGTGTAGGAATTTAAATAAATGTAGTTACATTTCTAAGTGCAACCTAAGTTACATTTCTAAACCTAGTTAGATTTCTAGCTCAGTTTGACATGTTGAGTCCCCCAATAATGGGTCCATGGTCAAAGGAACGAGACTGATACAAAGCGAAGGTCAAGCAAAGCTTTATTTTGCGCCAAGCATTGAAAATCAAACGAACCGTCAAACCGTCCGGTGGGGGACGGGCCTTACAGAGAGGGCGACGATCCCTCCCTGCCTTACAGACTAACTTTTATAGAGCAAAGGCCATGTGGTTGGGCCTGGCCACACACAGGTGGCCAATTAAATTACAATTCACCCCAAAGTAGCTATTTGAACTAGCCTATCACCTTGGTTAGAATTGGCACCCAAAAGATGCCCAAAATGTGGGGCCCACACTCCTTGGTAGCCAGGGGACAGCATGCGCGCTTTACAGATTGGATGTCTCCACCTGACCCGACTCATCCCTGCATTTGGGCTATTATCCACCTGACCTGACCCACCCTTGTATTTGGGCTTTGTTACCTGGGACTGGTTTCCCAGACTTGCTTTTAAGTAAGTTCCCCTGGGGGGAGGGAGGCAGGGTCAATTTAAGTTTTACTGCATAAACAACAAAATGGTTGTTCAATTGGGGTGGGGCCACTCTGGCTGAAAAGGCCCTTACAGACAAACTTTACTAACTTGGCCCCTAATTAGAAAACAAATAAAGGGGTAGTCGAAATGGAAAGGGAATAAGGAGAGAAGGGGGTTATAAAATCGACCTCTACTTGAATTAAGTATTCAGACAGAGAATTTAATCTAACAAAGGTGTCAGATACCATATCAGCCAAGGTCAGACTTTCAGAGAAATGACATTGATAGTAAATGTTTATAGGGGCCCCCCGGGTGGCTCAGTTAGTTAAGCGTCTGCCTTCAGCTCAGGTCCTGATCTCAGGGTCCTGGGATCCAGCTAGAGTTCTGTATTGGGTTTCCTGCTCAGGGGGGAAGAAGCCTGCTTCTTCTCCCTGTCCCTCTGCTCCTCCCTACCGCTAGTGTATGTACTCTCTCTCTCAAATAAATAAAGTCTTTATTAAAAAAAAAAAAAAAAGTAAATGTTTACATAATAGTTTTATCTTAGGACACTGCGTTAAGGATAAAATCTTTTTCTGTTTGCTTGATGTATTTTCTAGAATATTAGATATATATCTTGTCTAAATTCCTTCAGTTCATTGATACCACAGTTTAGAGATTTTTTCCTTGGATTTCAGATTTCAGTATCTGTTCAGATAAAAATGCCTCTGGAAGGGGTATATTAGATTTTATCATTTAACTCTTAATGATAAAAGTTCATAAAATTATTTCCTAAAAACTTTTTATGTAAAAATAAAATAACATCAAGAAGACTATGGGAAGACAGCATCTCACTATCAAAATAAAAATTACATTTATCCTTTGACCCACAAATCTCTCTTTTGTGAGTATTATTGAGAGGGGAAAAGCAATATGCCTTGTAATGTACATAGAATGTTATCTTTTGGAGTGCTTGGGTGGCTCAGTGGGTTGGGCCTCTGCCTTCAGCTCAGGTCCTGATCTCAGGGTCCTGGGATCGAGCCCCTCATCGGGCTCTCTGCTCAGCAAGAGCCTGCTTCCCCCTCCCCCTCTGCCTTCCTCTCTTGTTCCTTGTGATGTCTCTTTCTCTGTCAAATAAATTTTAAAAACTTAAAAAAAGAATGTTATCTTTTATGTAGGAAAGGGAAAAAATAAAATAAGTGTGATTCTTTTATTTGAGTAAAGAAACACTAGCAGGATACATGCAAAATGATTGAGTGTAGTTACGAAGTTATGTCATAGAGGTAGGGACCAGGTACAGGAATTCTGATACAGAGACATAGAGGAGTAAGACTTTTACCTTTGCATACTTTTGCATTGTATTGATTTTTGAATCATGTGACTGTATTACCTGTTTTTAAGATGGCTGAAATAGTAAATAATAAGATGATTGAAATTCACAAAAGAGCAAAGTTCATTTCAAGTGAGGAAACTGGAAGGTTTGAACACAAATTTTATCTGTATTGCTGCTGAAGGCTGGCTCTGAAGAAGTTCATTCACTAAGGCCTTTAGCCGGTAATACAGAGGACTGTTAACAGGAAGGAACTTTTCTGCCATTCTGGCCAAATGCCACTTAGCCATGTTCTATGTGGATCTATTTTCCTGTAGATGCCAGAAGAGCAAGCGTTCTGTGTTTTGGTGAAAATCATGTATGACTATGGCTTACGAGATCTCTACAAAAACAACTTTGAAGATCTTCATTGCAAGTTCTATCAGTTGGAGAGACTAATACAGGTAAATAAAAATTAGGCTTTTATCACTCAGGGATTGAGTTACAGAAAAATTAATAAAATTGATGAACAATAATAATTCATGAAAGTTTAATGGAATTCTGCAGAAAAATGTAGATATATTTGGTTTCTGACCAGTATCTATGTTGGTGTTAATATTTATTTAACCATTTGATCATTTTTAAAATAGTCTTCCATTGTAAATATTCAACTTTAATATACTTTGAAGTGTGAATATAGTGAGTTAAGTCAGTGAAAAGATTCCTGAGTATATTTGTAAAGAAATGAAGATATTTACAGAATAGAAATTGGAATACTTAAGAACTTTCCCTCCCTTAATTAGCCCCAGTACTATATTTAGGTCCACATGTAGAGAATTCTTAAAAGGGACAGAAAAGAATTGAAAAAGAATAAATACATAAATGTTAATATTGGACATATTTAAAATTTTTTCTCCTATAATTTCATGATCTCAAACAATGTTTGTTACTGTTTGACAATATGTCTGTGTAAATTTATATGTATGAAGAACATATTACTTTATATATGTAAAATATTACATAATAAAAAAAGATTGTGAGCGAGGGCAAGATTACTGACTAGTGCTAATAGAAGGAATTCCTGAGTAGCTTTGAAATTCCACCTGAAGTTGAAAATCTTAAATTTATAATGGCTCTGTGTCACATGCTTATATGGCTTTCTCTATCTGAGGTATTGAGAACCCAAGAGAAATGTGAAGTAAATACGTGAATGGATTGATTCCTTATTGGAGAAAAGTAAAGTGATTAAGGAGGAAGGTAATGGGACACAGCACTAGAGATACTGGTAGGAGCCCATTGGCCTGACCTGTCAGGAGATCCATAGGTGTATAAAGAGGACATGAAGTCTTAAATAAGAGACTAGAAGACTAGAACAGGAAAGACAGAGGATTAGCAATGAGATTAAAGACAACTTTACTGGGAGAAGAGAATGTTGGAAGGTAGAAGACCTTAAAGAAGAAATGAAATAGGGGAAAGATGTTAAGGGAACTATAAGCACAATGACACATGTGCTTTCATCAGGAGAAGAAAGAGTGTGTAGAAGATTCTGGGCAACTGTGGACAATAAAAGCAATAGGCTCTTTTTGAGATTTAATTCTTCTAAGTAAATATTTGGGATTATTCCTTTCTTACCTTTTATTTTCAGAAGTTTACATTTTTTCGAAGGTCAGTATTCTTAAGAGCTTTGAGAGTCAAATAAATGTACCTGATAAATGAATAGCAAGTTCATGGTACTGTGAAGAAACCCAAACACATTTTAGCATGTTTTAGCATTCTTTGACTGGATGACCTTAGGACACCCCACTTAAAGTACTTGATGGGTACCTTTGGGTGTTTTTCTAAAAGCATTTTGTGTAGGAAGTAGGGAGTTTTGTTTGTTTGTTTGTTTGTTTGTTTGTTTTTATGATCCATTTATGAAAACAAAACTAATGTGGGCTTTTACATGTCTTTGCTTTTCAGTTATAGGAACAGCTATGCTAATACTCTGAGCTTTCCTTTCATGCTTTTGACAAGCATTTACTTATGTAAATTGAGGGGAAAAAAGCATTGGGGTAGCATAAAGGCATTTTTAGGAGACATCCAATATCATGCATTATACCCTTGCACAATTTCTGTAGCTTGTCAGTTTTTAATGTCAAAGATAGTTTATTTTGAAGTCTGGTTATGTTTGGGGTTTGTCTCAATACCCCAAAAATATACTGAAGTGATATCACGGATCCCAGATGATGTTGATATTAAGTGGTCTCCAAAGAGTAGATCTATTTCTTTCCTAAGTAGTTAGGCAACCCATTTGATAAGGTGCTGGACTTGACTCTGGAGGGATGACGTTCATTAGACCATAGGTATTCTGTCAAAGTGAGCATTTACCAAGAAACAAGAACAGTCAAGTGAGCAAGAGGTCATCTTTGTTATTTGTCCATGACAAGTCTGCCTTTATTTTCCTCAATCATCCTAGTCCCAGGCTCACCTCCTATTATCACTTCCATGTAGTTACATAAAATTGAATGAATTTTGCCAAAAATCTAGAGTGGTCATAGAAAGCTAGTCATAAATTACAGTTGTGGTAGGAAGTAAAGGGTCTCAGTTTTCCACTTTGACTTTTTAGGAGCAGTTACCGGACCTGCATCACCATTTTTGTGTTCTGAACCTGGAAGTTCATATGTATGCCTCCCAGTGGTTCCTCACTCTTTTTACAGCCAAGTTCCCACTCTGCATGGTCTTCCACATCATCGACTTACTGCTCTGTGAGGTAGAGTGACTGCATCTCTCATACCTAAGCCAAAAGTGAAAATAGTTTCTGTTTAAAGTGGTCCTAATCGTCTTCATTTTATTTTTTCCTATAAATTGAGCCATAAATATTGACCAGGAAGTTCTATTTAATTTTTTAGTAAAGACTATTTTAATTATAATTTTATTATTTGTGAGAAATGAATATGTTAAGTCATGTAAAATTCCTACAAAGTAAGGTAGGTAATTAAATTTGTGTAATTAAAATTCATAATAAGCCTTTACCTGTGTAATAATGTATTACTAATATAAAGGACCTTTAAAGTTATATAAATGAATTCAAAATTAGGTGTTTTTAATAGTAATGTAGTTAAACTTCCAAGAGTGAATATAAATGAAATTACATAGTAATCTATATTTTATTTTATCTTTTCTTTTCTTTCCTTTTCTTTCACCAGTAAAGTTAACATACACTGTTATGTTAGTTTCAGGTGTACAATATAGTGTGATTCAACAACTCCATACATCACCCAGCACTCGTCATAACAGGTGTACTCCTTAATCCCCATCACTTTTTTAACCTCCACCCACCTCCCCTCTGGCAACCACTGTTTTTTTTCTAATTATACAGTAATTTAATCCTCAATTCATAAGATGTTTCTAATGTATATGATGTTTGAGACTCCTGCCAGATAATTGTGAAGTGATACACTAACGCTTCTCTACCATATATTTTCACAGAATATTTAAAAAACTAGTTTGCAAATTCCTTAGGTATCTGATTTGTTTCATGTATTGTTTTTAGTTCCCAAGGTGGCTGCATTTATTCACTTTACTCTTTTACAGAAATAAGCAGCACTGCACATGCATACCTTGTATCCTGCCAGTCAAAATGTTTAACAGTCTTAGCAGTGATTGCTAGATGAGAAGTTTTTTTATTTGGGATATAAATTACAGCTGTCTTAAATTAGAAAGCTAGAGTAATCAAAAGTATAAGCCTAACATAATCTAAACGGTTTTGTATTAGTGCATAACTTGTTATACACGGTTTCCTTTCTTAACCATTCCAATCGTATTAATCAAATTATAAAAAACGATTAAAAGAGATAAAAATGCCTAAGCTGCACAAAGCATGGCTGGGATTTCTCAGCCTACGACGGCAGGAAGTGTTTCCTGTGCACGCATCGCTGGGCTCTGCTCGTCAGAGGTTCTAGCTGGGAGCCACACAATCCTTGAAAGTTGCAGAGCATCTTGTAAAGATGTAAGATCTTTAAACATTTGTAACATATTTTTTTAAAAAGATTTGTTTATTTTATTTGAGAGCCAGAGAGAGAGAAAGAGAGAGAGAGAGAGAGGAGGGGCAGTGGGAGAGAATCTCCACCAGACTCCCCGCTGAGCACAGAGCCAGAGGCAGGGCTGGAGCTCACCACCCTGAGATTATGACCTGAGCTGAAATCAAGAGTCAGAACCTTCACCATCAGGCGTCCCCATTTGTGACATTTTAATAAAGAAAGGCTCAGCGACTTGCTGAAGGTCACAGAGTAAGTTCCCCAATTCTGAATATGTAACAGCTGGCAAACCTGATTAATAACACATTGACTCTCCTATTTGTCTTACTTACAAATTAGTTTCTAAAATGCCTATCTAAATTTAACTTAAAGGAAGAAGGCAAAATTAGGAGCTAGAACCTCATTCAAAGTCAAAATGGTGTGATCTCTGTATACACAAATTTAGGCATTGGAGAACTTTCCTGACTCCTCAAATTTAGTGCAGTGCTGTTCAAAAGTAAAAACCAAATTTATGTCTTTGACTTCTGTGATCTTAAAGTAATACTAAAGTTTATTTTTGATAAATAAATGTTCGTAGGTCCTATTCATTTCATACTGAGCTGAGTTTAGTATTTCACGGTATTTAAAAAAATAGGAAAGTGAGGGTATGACATTTTAACAGTTTTATATATAATAGGAGCTTACAAAAGTTAATACTGCTTCAAATTTTTTGCTGAAAGAGATTATCTAATTTCATACTAGGTTAGTTTTATAATGTTCATTATAGAAATCACACCAGTAAAATTGGATTTCTTTGTAATTTATGGCAATAGTAACACTATCCTCTAGTTCACTGGAGTGATGCCTTTCTAAAATCATCTCTATGTGAGTGATTCCTGACATTGGAGCATTGTCTGTGGGTCTTCTGGAACTCAGATTCACAATTTCTCAGTAAATTTTATTTTAACGATATTTGAATTTCTGATGTCAGTTACTAGGAAAATTAGCAACATTTACAGAAGGGAAAAGAAAATTTACAAGCACTATCACTTGCTAGCTGTGATTTAATTATAATATTTGAAAGATCTTAATACTTGTTAAAATTAATAAGAGATCATAGATACTACTTTCCCTTCCCTTAACTCTGTACTCTGTAGCTGTTTAAGGAAGTTGCATAGATTTCCAAAACATGGAGTAAGTTGTAATCACAGGATCATGGTAACCAGGGAAATAAATAATAATATCCCTTAACAGTTCAAAATAAACTTTATTGGGAATGGTATTATCAGGATATTCATTCTTTCCACTAACTCATCTTTGTCAGAGGATTATTTTGCAAAGGAAATTTTTAGATAAACTTTTATTTCCTGCCTGTCTGTGTTTTCTCTTTGCCCCTTTCCTTCTTGTAGTTAATAAAATATTTATATCAAAACTCGTCTTTCAAATGTGGTAAAATATTCTGAAAGAAATGATAACATAGTCTTAAATAGAATCATCTATGTGTATTTGTTTTTGTCATGTTCTCTTTTTTTAAGGAAAATGATTCAAATCTTCATCATTATGAATTAATGTATATATACCACATCTTTATCCATTTACCTGTCGATGGGCATCTAGGTTCTTTCCATAGTTTGGCTGTTGTGGACATTGCTGCTATGAACATCAGGTGCACATGCCCCTTTGGATCACTACATTTGTATCTTTGGGGTAAAAACCCAGTAATGCGATTGCTGGGTCCTAGAGTAGCTCTATTTTAAAGTTTTTGAGGCTGCATACTGTTTTCCAGAGTGGCTGCACCAGCTTCCATTCCCACCAACAGCGTAGGAGTGTTCCCCTTTGCATCCTTACCAAGGTCTGCCATTTCCTCACTTGTTAATTTTAGCCATTCGGACCAGTGTGAGGTGATACCTCATTGTAGTTTTAATTTGTATTTCCCTGATGCCAGGCGATGTTGAGCATTCTTTCATGTGTCTGTTGGCCATTTGGATGTTTTCTTTGGAGAAATGCCCAACAGCAGGATTTTAAACTAGAGTTTGAAAAAAACATCTTATTATGCTGAGGTAAATGGAACTTTCCATAAATTATTGTGTAGGCAATAATTGAAATTAAAACAATTTTTTTTAAAGAACAAAACCTTCTATATTTTATTGAGAGATAAGAAAAAGAACAAAACCTTCTGTATTTTATTGAGAGATAAGAAAAAGGCTAGAAGTATTAACACAGTGTAAATATTGTGCTGTTAATTCACTAAGAATAGAACATTGTCTTTTTTAAAGAACTTTTTGTGGAAGTGTAACAGATTAAAAGAAAATGTGCAACAATTGGTGTAAAACGTGATTTTTTACGTTTTTCATAAAGTGAACATAACTAATGTAACAAACACCCAGATTTTTTAAAAAAGCCAAACACTACATGAATTTCAGGAGCCCTCCTCCCCTTTACTGCCCCTGTGGTCACTACCGCTCTGAAGAGTAATCACTGTCCCAACTTCCGGCACCGTAGGATTATGAGTTTTGATAGTTTTTTATCAAATTTCAAACTTTAGCTTTAGATGGAATAACACAATGTGAACTCTTCTCGTCGAGGTTTCATGTGTCATTATGTTTGGACATTCATCTGTATAATAGTTGCATCTAGGTTTGGTTCATTTGTTCCACTGTATGAATATATTGTAATATATCCATTCTTCCATTGTGTTGTTGATGGGCATTTTGGGTTGTTCCAGATGAGTGTAATTGCAAGTAGTGTTGCTAGGAACATTCTTGAACTTGCCTGTTGGTTAGCATATGAATGTACTTCTGTGGGTACACATCTAGGAGTGGAATTGCTGGGTTAGAGCATGTACACACTAGGATTTAGTGGATGCCATCAAGCAGCTTTTTCAAAGTATTTTGAGCATTACCTTTTGAGTTGTTTTTATTCGGTGGAAGTCTGCCTTGTGATCAAAGGCAGGTTTTTATTTTACTGTGTTTTGTTTTGTTTTTTTTAGAGGGCAGATCCTAGATCAGATTAGAGTTCATGAATATGGAACAAAATGACACTCATTTATTTAGTTGAAAACTCATTCACTTGATCTCTGAAGTTGCATCCAGATGAGAACTAAGAGCTGGATTTAAGAGCTGACTCACTTCTGTGCTTGTACGAGAGAAGTTCACCTGGTGGGAGAAGTCCAGCACTGTATTCGGTTACAGAACGAGTGACATAGAGACAGTTTAACATTGGAGTTAAGATATTTGTTTTTTTTATTTAACCCTTCCTGCATCATTTTGTTTATGTTACTTTACCTGTGTATGTTTCAGTTTGTTTCTCTGTAAAATGATGCTAACAAAACCTGTCTCCCAGGTTTATTTTAAGGATTGAATGAGAATATGAAGTGCTTAGCACTGTGCCTACTACATAGTAAATACCCAGTTACTAATATAACCCTCCATTCTGCTCTGTCCATCTATATAGCTCTTTTATTGCCTCTCAGTTTTTTCGGTTAGCTAGATGACACCAGAGGTTCTTAAGAGAGTAGGTTAACTAGCTGTTGGTTCTTTCTTACCTTTCTAACCACCTTTGTTTCCCTCTAGTTGAGATGCTTTTTTGCTAAAACCAAAATTTTAGCCATTGACCTTAATGGAAGTTTAATTCTATTTTATAATTTTATTTTATTTCTAATTCTATTAGTTGACTAATGACTCAAGTAGTCCTTGAAGGTATTTTTTTTTCTTCTGTTTTCTTTCAGAAGACATAGAAAAAAAACCAGTATTTC